GGCCGCTATCTCTGGCGACATATTCAATCCATTTCGTTCTGTCAAGGCAAACTGGAGACTGCGCCCCCAACTCCCACCACAGTCGCGCAGAGGAAGTTACTCTGCAGTTTACAGCACGCATCTCCCCAGTGGGACACCTGACTGTGGGGGGTAATCCTGCTGTGTTATGTGTTAGAGCTGCGGGGCAGAACACCAAGCGCGGTGTTTCCCTCTGGCGGGCAATTACTTCCCACTGTCTACCCACAGCAACCGTGAGATATGCCAAAGGTGTGAAATTATCCGAACGGAATCACCTCCAGGAGGCGCTGTCACATGGCTCCGCCTTCGCTCAGGCTGCCACTAGTCCACAATTGAAGTCCCCGGAGCCCTCCCAACGTTTCATATCAAACTCTTGATGAATGTTGGCAGTCAGGTCACTGGGGCGCCGCTTCTGGTAAGCACTTCGTGAGTAAAAATCGTTAATGCTTCCGCGTACTAACATCGCCAACTTGGTCCCACCGAAAGTGCCAAGGTATGTGAATCTTGTGGTTTGCTGGAGGGCAGGACAGAGTTCGTGTTCTGCTATCGCCTTGTTGCTCCAGGGAGTCACTGCTGGTGAAGCGAGTTAGGCAATCTGGAGGAAAACATCTCGAAGTGGTTAAAATGAGTTCATATTTGAGCAAAAGGTGTTAGGAGGCTAGATCTTCCGCTTCCAATAAAAAAAAATACAAACTCCTTCCATTTTTTACTCTTAATTGAGAGAAGGAGTTTGTGCCATTCTCCCAGTGAAATCTGAGCTCGGCATTTCTCCAATCAGTTCCATTGCACAGTAAGTGTTCCCAGTCTGGCCGAATGGCTTCCAGATTTGGACAGAAACTCTCCTGTCTAGACCCTACGTTGCGAGATTTTCTTTCTCTCTCTCTTTAGCTGCACAGACTGGAAAATAAAACGCCAAAAAAAAACACATAGTCTATCTCTCAAATTTTCTCATAAAGATGTGCGACAGATCCGCTCAGTCTCTGCCCCAAGAGCTCTCAAAATACGTGTCGTCTGATCATCTGGCAGTTAATGCTTATCCATCCAGTTCCTTCAGATGGTATATTAAAACAAATCTTAGACAAGGCGGAATAGTAAAAGGAATTTTATTCAGTTTCAGACTCTGCACAAGAGGAGTACTGTTTATATAAATTAATATCTTGAAAGAAAACTTTTCTAAAAAATTCCTCCATAAATTTTAAAGAAAGTTGAAACGTTTTTGCATTTTGATAAAGATCGCTTGCAATTTTTTTTGGCCAACGTAATGATTGCTCTGATGTGAATTGATTGAATCTTGAATGAAGAATAACACACTCTGGGTGCCTCAGAATTTGATGGTGAATAAGAAGCGATTTTATCCCAGATAATTTGAACAACGACTCCACTCTAACAACTTTGAATCATTATTTAGCTAATTCACATAATCAGTAAAATTCCACCGCTCGGGATTGTTGTCGTTAACCCTGTGCTGTCCTGGGGTGCTTTCGGTAACTCTTACTTTGTCCCCTATTCTAATCTACACAATTAATTTTCTGCAATTTTTTAATGTTGAATATGATATAGCGAAAGTTACAGAAATGCGAGCCCAGTTCGACGCACCAAACGCGATTAGAAATGTACTCGACACAGATTAAACACACTGTGTGCATAAAAAATTAGCACGTAGCATAAGGATGGCACGCATGTATACGCGCTGTGATAAAATATGCTGCAACCATGTACATCCAAAACATCATACGTACACACGTATATACGACCTACATCAGGACAAACTACATGCATAGAAAACTAACCCATATGCATCAAAATACCATCAAAAAAGAACGAGTTGACATTATATACCGACTTTATTAAACTCGGGTTGGCTTGAGATAATTTCTTGCTAATGAAGCACTTTTGAGGTGTAGTCACTGTTGTAATCTGGATAAACTGCAGCTAATTTGAGCAGAAGGCCCCACAGATAACAATGAAATAATGTCCATTTTTAGTCATGTTCTTTGAGGGACAGGTATTGGCTGGGAAATCAGAGTGCTCACCTAGTCTTCTTCAAAACCACACCATGTCACACCGCACCCTGAATTCGAACTGTTCGCCGTTCCGTGTTGCCGGGTCAAGATGCTGAAATTCCCGCACTAACAGCACTGTGGATACACCTATACTAGATAAACTGCAACAATTCAAGGATACCGCTCATCCCACCTTCACAATGGCAATTAGGAATAGCCATTACATTGCTGGACCAGCTAGCGACATTGACCTCTTGTGAAAGAATAAATAAAAATCAATGTTATCTTTATGTCCATCTGATATAGCGGTCAGGGCCATGGACAGCTTGATCAGAAAGGTATCAGCCTCCTCAGGGCTGCATTGGAGTCTGAGCTGGGATTTTGTGTTGAAGTCCTGCAGGGGTTTAAAACCCCACCCTTCTGACTCAGAGATGAGAGTGTCAACACTGTCCACTACTCAAGTCAATTGCACAAGCACAGGAGGGAGAGAACCAGGATCCTATTTTGTTTTAGTATGGGTTAAATCACTTTCTCTTTAATTGGCTCAATTATCCCTAATATAAATCTACCTAATTTCTCATTCATTGCTTATGGTAGAATCCCTACAGCGTGGAAACAGGCCTTTCGGCCCATCCAGTCCGCATCGACATTCCAAAGAGCATCCCACCAGACCACTCCCTACCCTATCCCTGTAACCTCATCTGTGCAAACTCACATAATTAATATGCAGACAAATGCACATATATAAAAATGAAAACCTACAAGTATGAAGAAAACTAGCTCAACATACAGGCATTGTATAAATATGTAAATGATGTGGTAACCACGGTAGCCGTCCACCTTGGAAGATGACGGCTTGTAATGTGGCAGTTCATTCTGTGTTAAGCATCGCCTGATGTAGTTCAGCAGTTCCATTCTGGCATGTTACAAACTAACAGAAATTCACACAGAAACGTATAGGTGCAAAAGCAGGTACATCGGGCACTAGTGGTACAGTGATAGTGTCCCCATCTCTGAGATGGAGTGGCTCCCTTCAAGTTGCACTCGCCCCAGGACTTGCACGTCACTTTCTTGAACAGGCTGATTAATAATATTTGGACTAGCATGCCATATTTACGTAGACACGGTGTAACACTACTGTGGACATGATTTCTGAATTTAAGTACAGTTCATGACCACTCCAGAAATGTCAGCACAATATCGAAGGTGACACTTCAGTGCAGTGCCTGGCGGCTACAGTATCGGTAGTAATTTTAGGATCAGGACTTAAACGCAGGCCCATCAGTCCCCTCAACTGGACAAGAACAAAATCCCAAGCCCAAAGTCAAAGAACAGAAAAAAATGTTTTCCCAAAGTCTCGGTTTATATTTTTCACTCGCACATTTTGACTGTAACGGGTGAACTTCCCATTCACCCACTTTGGGATCTTCCCTGTGTGAAAATTGGCTCCGTTGTAACAGTGGTGATCCCTCAAAAGAACTTCATTGGCTGCAAAGCGCTTGAGCGCCTCCAGAGATCCTAGATAAAATAAAGTCTACTTAAATGCAAGGTTTATTTCAGATTTTAAAATACAGTTTCCTATTGTGACTGTGGAATCTACGACTGAAAACATGGTCGCCGAGCATTTACAATGGTCGAAGCAAGTGGTGTTGGAAACACATTATTAAAAAAAAACTTCATTTTCCACCAGAAATTCCTATCGCATTGATGTACTGTCACAGGGAGAACTCGAAAAGAAAATCCTGATAATGTTGTAATTCCTTGTAATATCTATCACCAACAGGAATGCAAACGGTCTTGTCATGTCTGCATCCACATAGTCTTTTCCCCGTGAACTACCTTCGTACTTTCATAGCGCGCTTTTGAGCATCGTATGAATTTTAAATGTATAAGAACGACCATTTCGCTGTTCGTTTGGAAGCTGGCTACAACTTTGCTATCAGGCCTTAATCATTTTTCCACATCTGGTGGCTAATAATGTTACAGAAATGGACTTCCTAATCACTGGTGCAGTCTGATTGCATTTAAGGTTGTGTAAATATAGGAAGAAGGATACAGATCTGAGTGAAGGAAGAAAAGGCAGAGAAATGAGGAAATAACTTCAGAAAAGACACATGCATTTTGAGAGAAAAATTGAGGGAAAATGAACTCCAGTACTGAAACGCGTAAGGAATAGTCCAAGTTGCCCGCAATTCCTGGTCTTTCCAGACACACTACCTTGTTTAATTTCTACAAGGGTTGACCCATGCTCCTTTTGAGTTGAAAAACAGGAAACCGAGTCTTGGAGGTTCTTCTAACGTGGGGGTGTTGGGATGAAGGGTTGGGGGCGGCGGTGAGTGTAGGTGGGGAGATTGGCGTTACTAAAAGAAACTGCACACACCAGTCTTCAGGCAGCACTGTGTCTGACCCAGTCTTGGGGGTCTGTGGGCTTTTCTTAAACAACTTATTTTTTTAAGGCAAAAAAAAATTGGCAGACTTCAGGAATGTCTGGGAGCCGAGGGAATGGGGCATGCGCGTGGTCTAGCGTTCTGAAAAAAAAGTTACCCGGTATAGACTAAGCCGCAGAAATGTAAACACGTCTGCAAAAAAAAAGGAGGAAAAAAAAGGCAGCGAACAGGACAGGTACCACAATCAGACTTCTGTTTGAACACAGCCCAATGCGCTCAGTAAAACAGAACTGTTGCAGGCTTGTTATAACATCAGCAAATATCATCAACATTTCTTTACAGAATTCATTCAGAAAGCTTCTGTTTACATCTACGTGCAATTTCTAATGTTCCTCATCTAGTGTGATTCTCTCTCTGCCGATTTATGGTGCAGTTTTCTAATTAGAAACTTTCTATACTCCATCTTCCTTATTCCTTTTTTCTCTTCTTCCCATTTTATCTCCTTTCCTCTGAATTCACTTCCGACTCTCATTCATTTGCGGTTTTGGGTTCCGTCACTGTGTGAACATATCATTCCCTGTCCTTTCGGAAATCTTTTCCTCCTCGTCTCACTCCGGCCTTCCCATCAGTTTTTTTTAAAGTTTCCGTCTTTGACCCCCTTGCCTTTTGGATTTTGCCCTCTGTTTGCTCTTTCTCTGTCTGACACTTTCTCTCCGTCTCTTCCTTTTTTCCCCTCTGTCTACTCTACGCTTTCCTGTCCAACACACACACACACACGCACACTTTCGCTGTCTTCCCTCTTTTCCCGTCTAACTCTCTCTCTTTCTCTCTCTCTCTCTCCCTCTTTCTCCTCCCTCCCTCCTGTTTTTGTCTGGCCAGGCTGCAGAGTGTATGGGGAGTCTGGGCACTCTCACTGATCCGTGATTGGAGATTTCAACGAAATAAGGAATTCCATTCACCGAGCCTCCCATTCACAGCAGAACCTGCACCTCCGCCATCCGACTGCGTGCCTGCTCCAAATCTCTGTAAGTACGCTCCGTTCTGACCCAGCCAGCTAGATCACTGCCGCTCCGCTTCGTCTTAAAATGTATGTATTGGAAATAAATAAGCATTGACTGTACAAAAAGAGAGGGACTCTACCCGATCGGTGACTGTTAACGCGTGTAAACGTCTTTTTTTTTCTTTCCCAGTCGCGTTCTATTTCACAGCGAATGGGACGCAGTTGAAATGATTCTGCAGATGTTAGAAAGATGTTTACCTCCTGGCAGTCCATATCAGTCAAAGTATCTGCACTGTAGTGACGTGATATCCTGATTGGCGATTTTATGTATACATAAGAGAAACAGAATTCGCAGCAACAAAGTGTTTGTGTTTCATGCAGAGGGAATAACGGAACGGCTCAACTCAGAGAAATGTACTGTCACATCAGGCAGACCAGAAACGCCTCAGAGTCAGGGATTTCTTCTGTTCCCTGTCAAATGTTTTGTTTTCTGCCGGGCAAGTGTTGAAGCCGCTGTGTTAAATATTTACTTTAGAGCCCATCAGGGCTCCAAACTAAAGGCGACGAGATTTTGCGGGCACCGTTTGCTCATGTTCTCCCACCTTTCCTGCTTTCAAGTACGCTGAGCCATTTTGCTGACTCCGAAATTGCCTCTTTCCCTGGTTTTTTCATTCCCACCCCCCCCACCACCCCCCCCCCCAATCCGCTTCAGGAGCGCTCACCTTTACGGTTATATTCTCCCCAGTTGTCTCCGTTCAGCTATCCTCTTCAATCAATCAATGAAGTACCCCCAACTATGTTTTTACACTGTCTTGCCCTCATTACCCGCTGACCCATAAATAGTAAAATCCCCCCATCCCTTGTCTGAACTAATCTGACACGTGCTTAAAAAGTAATTTCTGGGTTAGTTTAGGGGATCACGTTTCCTTGGGATTTCTAAAAGCTCAAAGTCAGGAGTGAGGTTTGCTCAGTTATACTGTCCAGATGCCTATCTAACTTAGTGGAAATAGGAAAGACTGCTGTCTCGGAACCTACCTTTTAATTTGCGGGTTTTAATTTGTAGCATTATGTTTCGACTTTTTTTTTGGAAAAAAAAGACTAATTTCACATTTAAAACTCTTAATTATTCAGCGCTCTTGGGAAAGGATTGAGTGAAAGTCAGTTAACGTTTATTTTTACATTTCTTCTATCAAGTTACTGCCCTGAAATCATCTGTTTCGCGTGTCTGAATCACACTTAACAACGCCGTTATTCACATCAAGATAACACCATCAAATGTACAATCCTTCTCTTTATTAATTTCACGTTTCCCCCTTCATGAGCAAAGTTAGAAGTGATACATCGAGTCCGATATGCGTTAAAGTTACTTTTTTTTGCCCAGAATAAGGTAAAAAGAACAAAGCGAAGAAGGGAAAGGAGTGAAATAGCTGAAAAGAAAGGAAAAAAAAAGGAATAAAAATGCTAAATATGCCGCTGTTGTGGATGTTTCGGTCAAGACTTGGGCCGAGAGCGGGTAGAGGCTGATAGTGAGTCTATGAGAAGCGCCGGAGCCCATATCCATGACCGGCTGGTTTAGTTCTCTCTTACAGTTTAGCCCGGAGACGACAAATTAAACCATACCGTAAATCTTCTATTATAGGTAGTAAAAACTAATTTTAGATTTCCTGTCCATTGCAGCCGCTCGCCTGATTGCTACCAGTTGCAAGAATGCCCCAACGGCTTAAAAGGGCAATGCTTCATGGACTTTTAACACAGTTCAGATTTTTTTGGAGCCCCTGACGCAGCAATTGTAAGATACCAATCCCCTCTCACCTGTAATTTTTTTAAATTCCAAATTCGATATGCATCCCTTTATTAATCCAACATTTCAAATGATTAGTTCTGTAGGTTGCTGGGTCCTACTGTGGTTTCTTTATCGTATTTGTACTGTATATGTGGTGGTACCAACATGTGGCTGCCTTGACTGCATTGAAAAGTATGGAGTAAAACGAGGCTAAGGAACTTTTTCACACAAATTTTCATTGGCAAAATCACAGTGATGTGAATATGCTCAAAGTGGCAGCTCATTGTTGGCTGATTCTTTAGAGGGGTTGGATGTGATGGATTTGGAGTATTTAGATATAGGCGACTCTTCTTTGAATCGAGTTATAAAGCAACTGGGCTGTTTTAAGTAATGTGGACAGGTAAAGTAGATTGATTTTTTTTGGCAGTTTAATTCAATTACTTCCAAGGTACTAGAAGTTTGATAGTTCTGTTGGGGATCATTTCATCAGGAAATTAAATAAATTAGAACTTCAGATAGTGGAAAGTGTACATGTTCCACTGAAGGAGAAGCACTGAGTAACCATTTTCCTTCTTTCATTCTCTCTTACTGCAATTTGCTTTTATATAGTCTCTTCAATTCAGTAAAGTGCCTCAAGTGCAAAAAAAGACAAGTAAGCAAAAGAAAGATACAAAGCCAAAGTTGATGTAATTGGGATAGTTGACACAAAACTTGGTCAAAGTAGTAGGATTTCAGCAGTGTATTAAGGAAAACAGAAGAGAGTAGTATTTGAGAGAGGAAATACCCAAGCTTAGAATTGAGGTAACTGATTACATTGGCACCAATGGTGGGAAGAAAGAACCCAGGGATGCTCATGAAGCAAGAATTTGAAAGAATTCAGGAGTCTCAGATGTTTGTGGGGCTGGAGGAGGTGACAGCCATAGGAAGAGTGAGGCCATAGGGGGATTCAACCATGAGGATAAAAATTTAAAATTTGAGATCTTGGTGGGCTGGGAGCCAATGTGGGGAGTGAGCACAATAGTGATGGTAACATTACTTTTATAATCTTGGGTGAGAACTGGATACACATTATAATTCTTATCATAATGTTGGAATATTGTAAGTTGTAACATTGCTGGATTCTGGGCTTCTCTATATTATGTTCCATTGCTTTTCCATAACTCACTCCTCTGAGACCCAATATCTGAGTACTTGAATATGTCCAGATGTGATTCATTGAGGGCACTTACTCATGTGGCAAAGCAGTGTAAATATTCAAAAGTCACTGACTCACAGGAGCTCTGGTAATTAGAACATATATTATCATCAGATTTGGCTTCATGATGGAAATATTTCATGCGGTATCATCATGTGGAAGAGCACGACTATGCAACAGACCATTTAATGATTTCCTTTCTAATTCAGTCTTTTCCACTTCAGTTTCTTTTCATCCATTATTTAAAGTGTTCTTTCCTTTTGGTTTATCATCTTATGAATGTGACCTTTACTAAAATCCCATTAAGTGATCATTTTCCGTGTGTAAACCTGAATGTTGCAAGATTGGCTGTCTGCCCCTTGGTCAAAGTCCAACCTCTCTTACTTTTCCACTTAGAGACACTAAACATGTTTAGGAATGGGGTCTTTGCATATTTTTTCTCTCCATCCTAACACAGTGGCCATGTATAAGGTTTTAGCAAAGATTTGTAGCTCAGGTTGTGTGAGAGGTTGTTGACTTGCTCGCTGAGCTGGATTGTTTTCATTCAGACATTTCGTCACCATGCTAGGTAATATCATCAGTGAGGCCTTTGATGAAGTGATGTTGTTCTACTCCACTTGGAATTTATACTGTCCGTACATAGAGTGGCCATGTATGTTAAGAATGCCTGGTGGAGTGACGTTGTTTATTTAATATCTTGGCTGTGCTTGCTTCCTACTATTGTCACAAATCTGCCAGAAAGATCCTTTTCCGTAGTAGCAAACATTTATGACATTTTGTATGAACTGAAATAGTAGCTACAACTTATCTATTTGTCATAAAACAAACACTGCAGATGCTGAAAACCTAAAATAGAAACAGATAGTGCTAGAAATGCTTAGGAACACCTGGTAGCATCCTTGGAGAGAGAAAAAAATTGCAGAGTTAAAGTTTCAGATTGTGATCTTTCAGACGTTCTGATGAAACACCATGACCTGAAATTTGCAAACATTATTTTTCTCTCCACAAATGCTGCCAGAACTGATAAGCACTTCCAGCATTTTCTGTTTTTATTACTTTCTTTGTCCTTTGAGTCAAGTTATATTTGGTGCGTATTTAGAACAAAGAACAGTACATCACAGGAACAAATCCTTTGGTCCATCGAGACTGGGCTGACACATGATGCCTTTCTAAACTAAAAAGCTTTAGCCTCTATGTGGTCCGTGTCCCTCTATTCCCTGCCCATTCATATATTTGTCAAGATGCCTCTTAAACATTGTTATTTATCATCTCCACCACCTCCTCTGTCAGACCATTCCAGACACTTGCCACCTGCTGTGTAAAAACCTTGCCTCATTTAAAATTTCCCCCTTTTACCTTAAACCTATGTCCCCTTGTAATTAACATTTCTCCCCGGGAAAAAGACTATCCATGCCTCTCATAATTTTGTTAAGTTCTATCAGATTGCCCTCATCTTTCGATATTCAAGTGAAAACAAGACAAGTTTGTCCAATCTCTCCTCATAACTAATACCCTCCAAGTGAGACAACATCTTTTTCTGTACCATCTCCAAAGCCTCTATGTCTTTTTTTTACAGTGTAGCAACCAGAACAGTACACAATATTCCAAATATAGCCTAACTAAAGTTCTACATAGCTGCAACATGACTTGCCCATTTTTATACTCTATGCCCTGACTGTTGAAGGCAAGTATGCTATATGCCTTCTTGACCACCTTATCCACTTATGTTGCTACTTTAATTGAACTGTGGACCTGTATGCCTGAGTCCATCTGTATGTTGATGCTACTAAGTGTTCTGCCATTTACTGTATACTTCTTTCCTGCATTAGATCTTCCAAAAGGTATCACCTTACATTTATCCAGATTAAACTCCATCTGCCATTTCTCTGCCCAAGTCTCCAGCCTATATCTATCCTGCTGTATCATCTGGCAATCCTCCTCACTGTCTGCAGCTCCCCCAATTTCATCACAAATTTACTAATCAGGCCACCTACATTCTCCTCCAAATTATTTACATATATTATAAACAACAAAATTTCCAGTCCTGATCCCTGTCAACACAACTGATTATAGATTTCCAGTCAGAAAAACACCCTTCCACTACTGTTC